CCCCAAAACCCCAAAACCCCAAAACCCCGTTTGTACTTAAATATATTGAAATTTTGAAGTTTTCTCTCCTCCTTCTTAATTTTTATAAATTTCCAAAACCCCTTGAATTACCCTAAACCAATATCCCCATTTCCATCTCCAAAACCACTCTAATCCCTTCCTCTCCCAAATTGATTTCCCAAATTTCTCTTAATTACAATTACACTTTCCTTGTAAAATCCAATTTCTTTTTCCTCACAAAATAACTCAAAAGCATGTTTCTCTTCACATCTTTGCTAGGCTGCGGCGGCAGCCTGCCGCTAGCTATGAAAGGAATATAACCTTGCTCTTGAGAGGTTTGTGGAAGTTGAATTTTGGGTCGAGAAATTGGGGTGAGAGAATCAAGGAGATTTTGGGAAGAAGTCTCAATACAGGTTGGATGATCGGGGGTTGGGGAGGTTGGCTTGGAGAAGTGAGTCGGTTTTTTGGGAAAATTTGGGCAGTGGGAGATCTGTGCAGCGTTTTTGGGAAGGATGGGAAGTTGGTGTGTTTTGAAATTTGGGCTGATTTGTTTTGGACTAGGGCTTTGGGAGATGGCTGAGGAGTCAGGAATTATCATTCTGTGTGGTTATTTTTGTGCCATACGATTTGGTTAATAAGCTTCTGTTCTTGTCTGGGATTTGGATTGCTTGGGCATTTAGCCTGGAGGCAATTTTATTTATGTAGTCTCTCAACTTTTGCTAAGGAGTCTTCTTTACTAATCTTATATCTATATGTTAATGAGTAAACAACTTTAAAGGGCTAGATTTGAAGCTTATAGCTGTCTTTTGTTAGTGAATTGAGTCAGCATGTCTTTTGCAGTAAAGCTTTTAGTGTTATCAAGAATTTTAGACTGCTTCCTAGTCTGAGATAATTTCTCCCTAATTTTCTCGTTTCTCATGATATTAATTTCCATTGGATTCTTTATATAATGACTTTCTAGAAATGATCACAAAATTTACCAAGTTGATAGTTAAAATTTACATCGTGGACTCTTTTAGAATAAATTGGAGTATTCTCGGTAAACCCAAAATTGACACTCTTATTCTGATATCTTGGAATATCAAATGACTTCTCACCTCTATGTTTAAATTGTGGTCGGAGCTCAGAAGAATGAAATGGTCCAAGCTCATTACTTTCACCAATAATGGATTCTGCAAGTCCATTATCTGCATCTGTTGAGTAACTAACTTTGAGCTGCTGGATTTCACCATTTTCAAATTTTCTAAAGATCGACTTTTTCTTATTTCTCTTTCACTTTAACTGTTGGCACTTGAGCATCAAAAAAGGTAGACTCATCAAAGGAAGTATTCTTCAGAAATTCAGTATCCTTTGTTATATTTTTAAGCTTTTTCTGAGGAATCTCAACTGATGGATTGACATATTCTGGATATACTTTGTAAAAGTCACAGAAGGTTCTGAAATTATCAATATTGACTTCTTGATCAGTTATACTATCGCACAAGCCTATCATTTCTTTGGAAATATCATTGTAGTCTGTAGATATTTCGTAAATGTTATCCCAAATCACGTTTTCGAGAATAAGTTTATTTTATTATGGAATCTCCATCAGCATGGGACTCCATGTTGGCTAATCATTCTTCAACACTGCTTGGAGGGATACCTTGCTCAATTCAATCTGTTATGCAAGCGATGATCTTTTCTAGTAAAATTTTGTCTCTTGTCAAGTTTTGTAGAAGTAGCAGTGGATTTCTCTATTTATGTTAGACATGTAAAAGTTCTATCCTTACTAACCTAATAAATTTACAATAAGAAATGTGTAAGAATAACTGATAATTAAAACCTACCTGTTTCTTGGGGGAATTCAAACTATTTTGCTCAAATTTCTCAATCTGATCCTTTAGCAGACTCCCTGATCTTGCCTTAAAAGTAGAGTCCAGCTTTTTCCCAGTTGGGTTCCCCAACTGGGAAAGGTTCAGAGACTTCTCTCTTCTATGACATGGACTTATCAGGGCTTTTGATTTAGGAGTTTTTAGATTTCCTTTGAAAACTTTATTTTTATAAAGATGTCTTTTAGCTCTATTCTTTACTCATAGTGATTTATTTCTGAGGACTATTACTATTAATTCTAATATCCCCGGATTCACAATTCAGGGATATCTTTTTAACTATAAAAGTGTTAACAATAAAATGTATGCTGAAGTATTCTGAAATCCCAGAATATTAGAAGCAAGAATTTTATCTTTAAAAGTCAGATAATTATGTAATGATCCAGGATTATTGTTTTGAAACCTGTCTTTGACAAGGTTTCTACTTAAAAATATTGAGAACACTAACTCACCTTTTGAACTCTTCTCATGAAATCCATCTGTTGCTATATCTTAAATAAAACCAAATCCCAGCAGTTTATGAAAATTTTAAGGGTACCTTGAATATTCACGTTTGTGGGTATTCTTTCTGGCAAAGGCTTTTCATATGATTTTCTAGTTAACTTATATTCCTGGTTATTCATTTTATTTACTTAATTATTGATTCTATATTAATTTCCCAAAAGGGGTTTTGGGGTTTTGGGGTTTTGGGG